TTCATGTCTGAAAAGAAAAAATGGATCCCAATAATAGGCAAAACTTTCAAAATTTCTCAAGTTCTAATACTAACAATCCTGATGAATTTCCATTATTCCAAAATTCACAAACTCCGCCAAATTTATCATTTTCACAAGCTTCTTACCCAACACAATTTTTTCCACAATTCTCAATTTCCTTTTTTGCAACAATCCCAAAATTATATCCGTAGAAGTTCAGAGATACAGGATAAAACAGTTCATCATCAATTTCGTGCCGATTTAGTTGAGCATATTTGGACTCATTTTAGCCACTAAAAAAATTATATTTTGTAATTGTATTATTTTTTCCTTGTGTAATCTTCATTTAAGTTATTTTGGTATTGTAGTGTGCTTTTATTTTAATGTATTTAAAATTTATTATTATAATTTAAAAATATTTAATTTTTATTTTTATTGAGAATAGAATATTAAAATTTATATTGATTGAATGGATATAATGGGTCTCATATTTGTATTTAAATGAATGTGTAGGGATGTGGGTGTGTGTTTAAATGGAGAGAGAATTAGTGGAAAGGTGATTTGGAAATGATGTGGAAGAGAGAGAGTGTACTTTTTTGATTGAATAAATGGGAAAAAAATTAACAAATGCGGATGCCCTAATAAAGTAGTAATAATACGCCAAGAAGGAAAAAAAAATAGTAGGCTTGATAAAAAATAAAAAATAAATAAAAAACTGTCTTTTGTTTGGTAATTAATAATTTTTTTATTTTATAAGATTTTTAAGATTACAACTTATAAATGCTTGAGGAACTAGGAAGGTTTCCGGATTTGTACTATATTAATTGTGCCCGTGAATTCAAACTTGTATAATGTGGGAATTTGGGCTTTGGTAATGCGAATTGGGCCTATTAATTAAAACTTGTGTACATGTTGTGGGAATTTGGGCATTAGCAGTACGATTTGGGGAAATATAATTGGGTAAAATATTTTTTCTCATCCAAACTATCACGATTTTGGCGCATCACCATATAAACTATGTTTTTTTACAAACCACCATATGAAATGTACGTGTTTGTCAATATGCCCTCTAAACTGGATATAAAAGTGGTTTAGGGGGCACATTGACAAACCTGTGATAGTTCATATGGTGGTTTGTAAAAGTATTTAGAGGGCACATATGGTGACCAAACAACTTTTTCAGTTAAAAACACTTTTATATCTGGTTTAGGGGGCACATTGACAAACCCGTATAGTTCATATGGTGGTTTGTAAAAAAATAGTTTATATGGTGATGTGCCAAAACCGTGATAGTTCGAATGAGAAAAAAGTATTTTACCCAATATAATTTAAAGATAAAATGTTGATGGGACCCTTTTTGAGTTGGGCCCCGTCCAGGGCCAACCCTAAATGTTTGGGAAAATTACATAACTAAAACACTATTAAACCAAAATTTCAGTCATGGAACCAACTATATAGAATTCCAAATATACTCTCACAAGAAGTTACTTATTAAAAATTACTAGTATTCGACCTGTACATTTGCACAAATGTAAATAAAGTATCATGAGTTATTTATATGCATATAGTGATTAATAATTTTTCTTGCACTTTTTGTCGGCCCAATTTACATTTAAAAGAGCTCGAATATATTTTTTTTAAATTGCGTTTATCATATTAGATGTAATGTATATTTTGGTATGTATTTTTTTATGAATTATTTATTATTTATTTAGAAATTTCAAATATGTTTTTTATTTTTTAAAAGAAGTTAATTTAATTGTAACCACAACAATAACATCTAATCACGTTAGATAGTCAACACATTATATGGTCAGTTGTAATTAAATGAAAAATTTATAATTATTTTTGTATTTGAAGTGATTAGTTTGTTGATTATCTAATAATTAAATGAGAGGTTAAATAAATAAAATGTAACGATTTTTGGAGGGAAAAGTTATATTGCCACATAGGTATAATTTAATAGGTTTAATTTAATGCTCATATGCTAGCAATTATGTATATATAGATTTTAAATTAAATAACTGCTCTCTAACTGCTATCTTTCTCTTTCTTCTTTTCATTCTCTCTCTCTTCTCTCTCTTTCTTTCTTCTCTTTTCACGTTTCTTCTCAGTTCTCCCTTCTTTTTCTTCTTCAACCATCAATGCCTACAAAAAAAAAAAAATATACAAAAAAAACTTTAAACAATTTAAATCAACTAAAAACCAACACAAATATATATTGTAAAAACAACAAATAAAACAAAATAAGCAACAACAACAATATTTTTTTTTTTTTTCAAGCAACATAAAAACAATTGTATGTAAACATTAAAAATATCATCCATCATAAGAGAACAACAACAACAACGAAACTTCTTTCAAGTAACATAAAAACAACTATATGTAAACATTAAAATATGAACCATCGTCAGTTTTCTGTATTACCTTTGAAAGATTCATATTCACATTTCTATATCTGACATAAACCTTATGAGAAAATTTATTGTTGAAAATATCAAGCATTTGGTAATTAGAGAATTTATTGGATAATTTCAAACAGAAAACAAAAATAGTTATTATTAAGAACTTGCAACACGCTTGGAGCATCATAGCAAACGCGGGTTACCAAGTTAATTACAAAATCAGATAATTAATTTTAAATTATTTTTTCTCATCATTAATATTTACAACACAAATATATTAATATTTCCAATAAAAATTTATACAAATACTCTTTATTCATAGAAAAAATTATAAAAACGAAGCCAAAAAGAAAAAAAATGGTGGGATCAACCAGTCAACTTGGATCTTAATTTCCTAAAAAAATCTAAAAAATATCCAAACAACTCGGGTCTGGCATCAGGTCCGTTGGCATCTTTTTGACCTGGTTTGATAATCTTAAATTAAGGCAACATTGGATGATTAAAATTCAAACCTTCTGAAACGCACCAGTCCCGTGCTCGGCAAGTCCAACACCCCTCGCACGCAGCCAGGACCGTCGCCGCGGCTGCCACTCCCCGCCCAAAAATGACTCGCATCCACGGATTTCAGAAACTAAGTAGTTGCACGGAGCGGCGATGCCGCGATTGAAGAACTTTGCGGTTTTTAAAGGAACCATCTTTACCAATTGAAGATGATGTTCTTGTCGTTCCTTCACTCCGAAGATTTGGAATGTGGATTTGGGGCAAAATTTTGGGAAATAGATTTGGAGGAAAAATTAGATTGAGGAGAAAAAAAAAAGATAAACTTTATAAGGTTAATAAGAATAAAAAACGAAAATAAAAAGGAAATATAAAAATAGTAACTGACGCAGGGAGTAAGAATAAAAATTTAAAAGTTTATAATTGTAAAAAAAAAGGAGTAAAATTGTCTAAATAGAGAATGGACACTTTAACGAAAATTGTTTAAGCAGAAGGTTAGGCGGTGTCATTAATTCTAAATGTGTTAGAACATTTATAAATTCCCATGAAACAAAATGGTTACATACATCAAATTTTAAAGAGCTCTTTGCATTCTTTTTATAAAGTTCATAAAATATTTTGTGTTCTTTGTGTTTGTTTCTATCTTGAGTGTTCCAAACAATAGAATTGTTCGCCGAAGGTGAGCAATATTAATTATTTACAAAAAAAAAACGTTTCCTTATTAATTATTTATAGTTTTTTTATTTTACAATAATTTATTTTTATTTTTTTGCTTTTTATTGGACAATTAATTTTTTATAAAACATTCGTTTAGTACACGAGCGTTGTACTAGTTAGTAATATAGTATACAAAATAGTATAATAATACATGTTAAAGTTTTACTTGCCAACCTTTACATGTCTAAAGAAAATGTTTTATAGATTAATTTCATCATTGTACTCAATAAGGGAAAATCAAATGAGGAATTTGCACCCCATACTACTATATTTAATTTATATAACATTTTAGTCTCCCTTTTATTTTTATTTATAAAATAGCCTAAACAACCACCAAATATTGCAAATATACCTGATATGATGCAAATTATTTTAACCGTTATGAAGCAATTTTCGGGCAAATTAAATACATTGATATCACGTATTGAGATTCACTTACCAAATAAATAGGAAGATTTAATTATATATTCGTCTGAAACCACTTTAATCGCTGAAAACAAACATCCGTTCTCCCCGTCGTCGTGTAATCTACTGAGATCCTCCGACGGACGCAGTGGATCTTGCGCAGTCTTCTCTTGGTCAGCGTTCTTGTTGGGTGATGCGAAGTGGGGAAGATGCGGAACGGCATCGACGATCTCGGCGGGTGATTCGTGTCGGGGAGGGATAGGTCGTGGGGTTGAGTGAGGAAATTCGAAAGGCCAAACGACTGCGTCGGGTAAGCGATGAATGAAATTGCGTCAGAGATCACAACGATTTCCATTGAATTGATTAAAGATGATATTTAGGGTGGGGGTTGGAGAGAAGAATGATACTGGGTCCGAGTGTAATACTTGAGAAATACAAAGATCTCTCAGAAAAGAGGAGCCCACAAGTCATCAGCAAAGGAATCATCAGCATGATAAAGCAGCCACCCCCCTCAAATCCTTCATCTCCCACATCGACAAATGGGCTTTTCAGGAGGAAACAAAATGTGTCTGACCCCTCCTCTTCTTCTTCTTGTGGCTTTCTTGAGTGTTGTTTTCTCTGCAGGAAAAAGCTCTTGCCAGGAAATGATATCTACATGTACAAGTAAGCATTCTGTGTAAATTTTTCAGTTAAAAATGTAAACTTTAGGGTCTTTTTCTTGCAATCTTTCAAGTATTACTAAAAATTTGTGAAAAGGGGTTGGATTTTGAGTAAGTGGGCTTAACAATCGAACATTTGCGACTGCTGTTGAGGTGAAAAGATTGAAACTTTGAGTGAGATTCGATGTGGGAATAAGATGCTTTTGTAATGGGGTATTACCAAGAAATGTCTTATGTAATTTGATTGGATAATTGGGGAAGATACTTTTCAATTGCCTATAAATAAAATCAAGAATGTGGTTTTATGTTCCGTGGGAGGATTTGTTTTTGAGATGATGACTGCCGATTCAATGCTGGCCACTGCCGATTCGGATTGAAAAGAAAGCAGCAGCGACGTCCTCAATTTCCGCCGGCATTATTTTCAGTTTTTGTGTGGACGGTTTATATTTTTGGATGTTGAATAGTGCTGGGATTTTGAGTGTTTTTTTTTTTTTTCTAAAAAAAAACCACACCCCAATCAGCATATGTTGAGTATATATACAATATATTTTCAGTTTATAAACATTTTATGTCTGGATTATTTACAATTTTTGGTATATGTTGTGTGCATATGGATTATATGTATAATATATATTTTGCATATTTAGAAGATTTTTTGTATATTAGAAGATTTTTGTATAAAGAATATAAGTAATCTGTAATAATATGTTTTTTTTTTTTTTTTTTTTTTNTTTTTCATTGCAACATATACTGAATATATACTCACATAAACGCAATATATACCGGCTGCGTGAATTATAGAATTCCAGTTGCACACATATACTGAATATATACTAACATAAACTCAATATATATCACATGAGAAACATAAACGCAATATATACCTGCTGCGTGAATTACAAAATTCCATTTGCCACATATACTGAATATATACTAATATAAACCCAATATATAGCATTTGCTACATATACTGAATATATACTAACATAAACCCAATATATACCACCTGTGAGCTATTAAATAACCTGTGTGAATTAAGGGAATAAGTGTGAATTAACGAGATAATGGTTGAAATGATATGGTAACTTTAGACATTAATATAAATAAATAATGTCTTTTAAGTAGAGATATAATTATTTCTACTTGTATGGTAAAATTGCAATTAATTTAAAATTATGTAGCAGAAATAAAAATATCCAAATCAAATTTGAAGAGTATAGTTTTCCAAATCAATGATCGACACAAGTTTGACACAAGTTGGGACTCCGAGTTACAAATTGTTGAACTGTATAACTAATTTTATAATGGAAAAAAAAAATAATTAATTTTATAAAATTTTAAAATTATATTTATATTAAATTTATTTATATATAAATCTATACTTATATTAAAAGGAAACCTATTTACTAAACATAGTAGGTAGAAAAGTCAACTTTAATTAATGAACTTCTAATTTTATCAAGTAGTAATTAATGTATTTATAATTTTAATCAAGTTTCCTATTTTACATA